TTATAAGTCTCAGAGGCTTCAGGTGGAGAAGAGTCTCAGGAGTGTTGAGTGACTGCATTGAGGAAAATTATCAGCCCTTATTTTTAAGTCATTTGCTTAGATGCATAAGAAGGTGGATTGCTGAAACCCTTTGCCATTGACAGTCCTGCCTCCTGAGACAGCATATTTTGCGATCTCTCAAAATCCATAGTGATTTCAAAGACTTCAAGAGCGGCCACATATCGGTTTTGTATTGCCGTTTTAGAAGACTTAGACAAACTTACGCTTGTCGTCGGACGCAGGAGAGTGGAGTTCTGGGTGTGTGTGGCAGATGCTGCGCAAGTCTGCTGGCTGCAGAAACTAATTCCGACGGCGCTCGAACCGACATATCAGATGTAAAAGAGACGCTCTGTTACGTAATTTCTGTACCAGGAAGGAAAAACGCTAATTTCTAATTTTTCACGATTCGTGAACAACATATATTATATGCACGTGAAGTATTTCGGCTTAAATTATAGGAGTAAATCCAGGCACCTCTCTCTAGTTTCTCTCGAACCACTTTGTTTTGTTTGATCTTTTGTTGTTTTCTGGCAATGCAGGCGAAGCTAAATCAACGCTAGCATCATTATTAAAAATGACTTTCCTGATGCAAATACTTTTGCAGCCACGCTCCCCGGGGGGGGGAGGAGGCGTGAAAGGAGCCTGGTCGCAAAGCAAGATGAAGACAAAAACGAAGACGCTAACCTTTGTCTGAATTCCTCTTATTGGCCATCATTAAAAGTCGGACGTCGAAAAAGGAGACTGTCATCCCAGGGTCCATTAATTAATCCAAACGTTTTTCTTTACTCGGTGAGGTAATGATTTTTGAACATTCCAGTGGTTTTGTTCACAACATAAACAACCAAGTCAACTAAAAGAGGAATGTTTAGGGAAAATTTCTTAGATCAAAAGTAACTGTTATATGTTATAGGGATGGCTATTCAGTAGACATGTCAACCTACGTAAGGCTCAGAGAAATCCACTTATTTAATGGAACTTCCGCTCTGTTGAGGAACTGTTTCGGAAGACTATAATGAAATGCCTGACAAATGAATAATTGGCAATGAACAGCGTGTCTGCAGACCGCCGTCATTAAGCTATTGCACATCTTGACGTACTATCTATCTGAAGGGGGTATTAAAGATCAGTTTAGTCTCGCAGCTCTTCGAAGCCGTTCTATAGAGCTCTGTGGACAGTCACCTACATTGCTGTTTTTCCGTAAAGCTAAACGTAATGCAATCACACTCACATCCCAGTAGTATTCCAAACTGCACCCTTCGTCTATTTCCTACGCCCATTGTCTCTTTTTATCCAAATCCACAGTGACTTGTTTCTAAGAAAAAAGTACTTCTGTGAAGGCAGAAACGCAGATCTCGACTGCTATTTCAATTTAAGCCGTTTCCACGAAATCCGCAAATGTAATTTGAGGCTTTTCTCGGAAAGATCACAGTTATTGCGAACAAAGCGCACTCAGTGATGAAGTCCACTTGGGCCTTGTTTGAACTAACTAGTATATTTGCTCGATAAATCCAGATCACGAGGTCGTGATGGTCAAAACTTAATATCCTTTACCGCATCCTTCAGCATTGGCTGCCAGCCTTTAAAGCCAGATCCTTGACTAAGGTGCAGTTGGAAGGAGTGTGTGTAATTTCAACTGGATAACGAAAGTGTTGGCTTGTATAAGCATAATACGTTTGCTCTTTTTGACCTTTCAAATGAAAAAGTAGTCAAAATTAATGTGGCTAGACTCATTCAAATTATGACCCCCGCAGCTCCTTGTCATACATATGAACAACTTTATCTCCGTCATCTAGTTACAATCCACTTGCAGTATAGATGGCGAAAAATTTCACTTTTCGACAACGCGAGGCTTGCCCTTTTCATTCAACCGCGTAACCCTATCAGCCGTCCTACGACGATCGTGGTGTCAAAAATCTCAACAAACTCTGTGTACATAATCAGCCTAGTTTCACATTGTGCCATTTTGCCAGATTCGACACGTTCGAGCGGATCATGAGTGCTAGGAAGTGCGCAAATTATCGTCGCCTTAACGCTCTTCCGACCGCGCCTCAGGACGCAACTGATGTGCAGTATGTCCCTCCCGAGTACCAGTTACCTGCCCGTCGCATGTTTGATCGGTCTGCACTTCGAGTCCACTGCCAACGTCTTCTTTACTTCATCCTCTTCTACGCCCTTCTTGCAGCCTTCTTCTTCAACTACATGAGTTGGCTAATGTACTTTCAGGTATCACGTGATTACCCAAAGTTGACGGGGGCTCACAGTGCCATAGGCATGAATCCCGGCCTCAGCTTCGTGCCTCATCCGGATATCTTTAACAGCCTCATTCGCATTCAGTCACGCGTCCCTCTGCCGATATCTTTGTTGAACGATCACATCACGGCCTTCCTGCACTCCTACCAGGACAACACCGGATGCACTGAGAGGGAGGACTGTGTGAAGGAAGGTGGACTGACCCAGGATCCGGAACGTCCTTGTGCCTATGATGTCAATGCTGGGGGACCCTGCAACATGGTCAATGGTTTTGGTTATGACACAGCACAACCCTGTTTTGCCCTGAAGATGAGCAAAATTTATGGTTGGTTGCCTGACCCGGTGGACGGAGCGGACGGTGTGCTGGTACGGTGTGAGGGTTATGATGAGGATGACACCAACCACCTCGGAGTCATTCGTTACTTCGATATGGACTACAAGTTCTCGGCAATCCCACCGGGGAAAAATCCCGGCAAGTTGGACAACGGCACATTTCGATCCATGTACTTTCCCTATCGGAATCAGGCTTGCTACCACCAACCTCTGGTGTTTGTGCAGTTTGATGGCATCACGAGATATACCCTTATTCGTGTGCGATGTTACCTGATTGCCAAGAATATCCATGTGGACTTCGAACGTGGTGAAGGCAGTGTCTCTTTTGAAATACTTGCTGATTAAATAATGTACTTTCGGATTTTATCAAATGAAGAATCTCGATTTCGTATCAAGTGTTAAAATCTGGTCGGAGCTTCATAGAGACTGTTGCGAAGTACGTCACGATCAACTTTTTTAATATATGAAAATCATTTTCCTTGATTTACTCTGCTGTGAAAACCTCAGCGGCCTCAACGGGATTAGAGCCGGCGAAAGGAATGGCAAGGTTTTTAGCCAGCCGGTGTTCTAACCACATGAGCTGGGACCCCCCGAATGAGAGCCTTGTGTTTTCTGCATTTGAACTAAGTGCGGATCTCACATCTCAGATGGCCATAATGCTGGTTCTACTAAAGCCTTTCTCCGACAGTCGCGGGCTGGAATCTCACCGGCTAGCCAGAAAGTTCACAAGTATGTCAGCCAAACTAATCAAATCCGCCAAAACAGAGATCACTAAATTTATCGCTGGTAATGATAATATGGATGAGAGCTACTAATTGTTGCCTAACAAGACTCCTGAATATACTGCTTTTGGGGCAGGATATTTCTCTAAGATCAGGTCGAATATCTGACGAAGATATTGACCGTGTGCCTTAGTCAGCGAACATACATCCGACATGCGGCTTTATTTGTCTGCTAAGGGGATATATTTCTCACCCAGTTTTCCCAGGGAGCGTTACATCCCTTTGCGTTAAAGAATGAATGAGAGTATCTCGGGAATAATGCTGAAAAATGAGTCTCATGATGAAATCAGCAGGTTTTTTGCGCAATATTGAAGTTGTTTGAAAGCACACACGCGGACGTTTAATTACCGTCCATTTATGCTGAGCTGACACTACCAGATTTGAAGGGTTTGAATCAAAGCCTCTGTCCTGTGATTGTGATCGGTACGAGTTTTTCCTGCATCCAGGTAGTGGGCGGGATTTTGGAGGATAAGAATAAGAATTCAGAAGCGTTGAACTTCGCAAACTTCATTCAATATTTCGAAACATTTTGGTCGTTTTAGCATCATCGAGGGACCGCCCAAATATAGATTGCTAGTAATACTAAACAAACGGGCCAGATCGCAGTTGGCAGCCAGGAATGGGGAAGCGGACGGCGACCTTAACCCTACCTCAACCTTAAACGTTAACGGTTAACCCTAACGGCAACCCTAACCCTAACCGAAATCGTAAACGTAACCGTAGCCCTTAGTCAGAGTGGTAACTGGAAAACCTAACCGTAATACTGAAACATAATCGTACGCTCAAACCCTAACCGTAACCCGAAAACCTAAGCCAAAGGGCATAACCCTAATCCGAAAATCGGAAACCACTAACCTGTACCCTAATCCTAACCTCAAACGTAAAACAGGAGCCAAATGGGTCAGATGTGATTATAGAACCTCATAAAATAGCCCCAGTAAACAAATCCCCCAGCCACCTGTAATACGGGGCCTGGCCACCAACTGCGATCCAGCCAACAAACGGCCTATCTGAATTGGGAGTGCCTTCATCACCTGAACTGGCATCGTGAATCAGGGATATTTGTTTTCAAAATGCAGTATGTGGACTTCCTGCGACTTTAGTTGGCTATTTATATTTTCACCTTCTCGGGTGAGACTTTTGAGATAAAATAAACGCGCGTGGTTGTGTGGGCATGCCCGAAAGTCCCCTTTGACAAAGACTCTCTGGTGGCAACGTGCCTTTTCCATGCTCGATGATTGACATTGTTGAAGTCGGTATATCGGCTTTGCTGCGCACTTTAAGGGACTGTTTAGTTCTGGCTGAACAGGCTGTCAAGAAGACGTTTTAACGGCCAGCAAAGGTGATGGCTGTGCCAGCCATAGAGCTGAGACTATGACATTTACTAAAAGTTAACATATTACAGGTCAGCTGGGGTTCCTATTGTTAGCTAGCATTTTTTAGTGTAGACAGCACCTAAAATTCACTTTGACCCAACTGTGAAAAACTCGCTGCCTCGGTGGGATTCGAACCCACGACAGTAAGGAGAGACTTTAGTACAGCTAACGCTCTAACCAGCTGAGATACGAGGCCCCACCGGACGACGTGGGTTTAATTACATTTGGGTCAATTTTACTCGCCTAACCTACTGCAACGTCTGGAATCCACCAAATCTGATACAATAAGCTTGCTGCCCAAGCACCTAAACTGTCAAATGCCGGAAGTGGATTTCGACAGGCCTGGATGTAACTGTGGTCCCAAAAGCGGAGGATGATGTAATGACAGTCCTAGGGTTGAGCCAGTGCAGGACATCCGCGGACGCATCGTTTTGTCGTGGATTTCGATAAGTCCTAACTGTAGAACCTATCAGTGAAGTAGTCGCTCCTATTACAATCGTTTTATGTTCATTCCACCGCCGGCGTGATTGGGACATCATTCTTCCGCGACTAAGGCTTGCCTACATAGACTTCACTTCAATCATATACAGAGCTCTAATTTATACACAGACACTCAGGTGCGTTTTCCTGATATCTTCACACTGGTCGTCGAATGCGTGCAGGTTCCTAAAGTTAGGTTGATAATTATTGGTAAGCTTCTTAACGAACTAAACCAATGCAACCTCGGAAGTAACAACACATTTTCTATTGTTTTGTAATTTATTAGAAGTCCTCTATGGATCTCAGAATGAAAAAAACTACTCATTCGAGTCATACGAAGCATTTATTAGTAATGGCTGGAAAAATTTTTTTGCCGCAACTAATCGAAAGCAGTTGATGACTTGGAGGACTTTCTGGCGGAGACAGAAAACCTGGGGCCGCTTAACCGAAGACACCTTTGTGGCGTCATCCTAGTTTCCCAAATTCTCCTTATTTCAAACATAGTCGCGTATTGTAAAAAATTATGCTATAACAACTATTACGTAGAATGCTGTCCTAATGATATCATATGTATTTAATGCCTAGATTAAGGCTCGCTTGATGACTAGACTTGTTGGTTTGTGCAGTCAGGACCATACCGTTTAGAAGAACACTGTTTGAACAGTTTTAATCTACCCTATTTGCCTTGCTTCCTTGGCGTTCGCTTACGAAACCGTTAGCGCATCATCTGACCATATGACTACTTAATGAAGTTCAGATTAGCAAAGTTGAGATATCCGGGTTGATGATTTGAATAAGAAGAAGAAGAAGAAGAAGAAGAAGATGGGCTCTCCGGAACGCGTTTATTTAGCTGCTGACGTTTCAAAGGGTTTGGTCGGCTCTCCAATGTCAAAGCGTAAAATGCACTTAATTGATCAGAAATTTCAAGTGGCATGTTGTGTTGGTCGGCCTCGTGCTGATCGATTTTTCTCTCCTCTTGCTGCCTCGGCCTCTCGGGGGATCGTTGACGAGCGTTTTGCCTGCGTTTTTTGTGAGTCAACAATCCGTCGGGGGAAGCTGACTGAACCTTTGTCGGGAGGTCGGTCTGGAGGTTCTTGTTCTTCCTCGCGGAGTAAACTCGCCGACGGGCTATCTCCGTATGGCCTTCTTAAGCCCGGTGGGGTTGTTTGGTCCTGAGCTCTACGATTTTGATGACGTATGACTATATAAGCTGCAGGAAGGTCCAGATGCCTGTTGATGGATTGGGCATCGGAGAACCACGCCTCGAGAGTTAGCCGTACTGCATTTGTGACGCTCCGGCCTAAGATGGTAGCCCTCTGGAGATCGGAAGTATGCTCAGTTTCTCCAACGTGTGTTGCTTGTTGAGAGTTAGGGTCTAACCTCCGAGTGCTCTTATGGGGGAGTCTGCAATTTCTGCCCGGTTTCTCCCACATCGTTGCAATCGCCTTCATTGCAATCTATTTTGTAGATGACTGCCGAGGTTTTGGCGGGTGGCAATGGGTTATTAGGTTGCATCAGAGGGCGTCGAATTGTTGCCAGGGATCGAAGGGCTATGCCTACTCTGGTGGGTTGTAATAGTCGAGAGACCGCTTCAGAGACCCCTTTAACCTAAGGAATGGTCCTCCAGACTTCGGGTTGCTGCTTATTTGGCCGTCGTCTGTGCGCCTGACGTCTACTTCTCACGACAAAATACCTGGGATAACCATTGGCTGCAAATAGGTTCTGAAGATACAATCGTTCGATTCTTTTATCTTCTGGCGTGCTGCAGTGTGTTTCGACTCTTTGGAATAGAGTGCGGACACAACTACGTTTGTGAGACAGAGGATGGTTGCTGTTGAAGTGTAGGATCTGTCTCGTGTCGGTGGATTTTCGGAATACTGTAGTTTGTGGCTGTCCAGTGGTACACCGACGCACAAGCACGTCAAGAAAGGGCAGTTGGTTGTTTGTTTCTGCTTCCATCGTAAATTGGATATCCGGGTCAACCGAGTTCAGTAGTTCCTTTAGATGCTCAGTGTCAGTTGTTTTGACAACGACGAAGGTGTCATCGACATAGCCTGCCCAGAACTTTGGTTGATACTTGGTGAACACTAAGTGTTCTTTCCGTTGAAGAATTAATTCAGCCGACTAAGCTCTTTGTAACGTCAGCATCTAAACAAACCTGTTCCGGAGAGCCTGTCTTCTTCTCCCTCAAATAATTAATAAAGGCTTATGCTCGAGCGCAGACTCCTTTTCTGAAAGACAGCAGAGACCTGGTGACACCCGGCAGTCAGGCGAATGTGGCGGCGACATTCACCAGACTGCAAGTCTGTCCCTGGCGTCGTCTCTAGACTGCTACAAGAAATCAGCAATTTAGAGGCATTACTGGCGAAGACTCTAGAGACTGGAATGGCCACGTACAGTTTACGCGCCCACATCAGTCGGTCATACCGTAACTGCAGGGCAGGCGGATCTGATATTAGCAAGGTTAAGTCGGCGATAAACTTGACTCTAACTAATATGACACGTCATCCCAGCCTGGGTTGGCGATATGACTGACTTGAAACGACAGAGGAGCCGGACATGACTGCTTCAGTCTCATGTAGAGTCTAATCGGTAGGTTCTAGGCACACTTTTCATTTAGCTTACTCTTTGAAACGTATATTTTAGCAAGGGTTTTTTGAAGCCCTTTTAACTCACGTGGAATTGCAGGCACATGCCTTTGCAACGCTGGTATTTGGCATTTTTTAAAGTAGTCACAAATGGGCCTCCTACGGACAGATGTCTGACGTTCTTAACGCAAACGGTGGCCGTTTCTTTGATCTTAAGCTGGCTGTCAACTGCCACTATAATTCTAAAACCATTGGGAAGTCCCATGGAGAGAGGGAGGGAGTAATCAGAAAATAGGCTGCATGTTTTTTTTTCCAGCGTTTCAACAGCACACACGGGCAGTCATGAAAACCCGAGTGATCTCAACTACGTCGGGGACAATAAATCATGACGGGAAATATACTGCTGAACTGGCACGAACATATGCAGTCATGACAACTACCAGCACGCAAGTAGTAGCTAGACCAATCGCCAACGTCAAGTGGGAGCGCCTCCGCCCCCTGTCGATACTCTCGTGTCTTCAGATCATTACTCAGAGAATAAGTTAGCGGCTGGTCGTGTGCTAGTGCGCTACTATGTCTTACCGGTATTCTACTCACTCCAACCTCTCTTTTGACCCCATACGAGACCTCTTCGTGGAGGTTCGTCGTTTGGAGACTCGTCGTTCTATTTGGCGTTATGCAGAGGACAAACGGAAGCGCCAGGAGGAGCGTCTTTCTGCGGCCCGGGTGGGCAAACGTTGGCTCTACTTCTTCGTTCTTTATGCCCTTCTGGCGGTCTGCTTCTACGGCTACCTCAATTTATTCATGTACTTTCAAATACCCAGAGATCGCCCGAAACTCACGGGTCGACAGAGCCTGTTGCAGCTGCACCCGGGTCTGAGTCGAGTGCCCAACCCGGATGTCGTGACAAGTTTGGTTCATTTCCGACCCCAGGAACCGCTCTCGTACTCGAAACTGCTGGATGAGATGTGGGCCTTTCTCTATGGCTACCGCAGATCAAGGCGTGGGAAGTTGAAGGATTGTGTCCGCGGCACTGGGGGCGATATAATTGATTTGCGACGACCCTGTGCCTTTGATCTGAACGCTGTAGGGCCCTGCAACTCCGCCAGCAGCTTTGGCTACACCACTGGGAGTCCCTGTTTTGCGCTCAAAATGAATCGCATCTACGGTTGGCTGCCGGAACCGGTAGAATTCGCCACGGGAGTGCTAGTGAAGTGTGAGGGTGAAACAGAAAACGATACGCTGAATATGGGTACTATTTACTACTATGACATGGATTACGCATTCACGGATCGAACGCGAGCGAAGACAGCCAATGGGAGTTTTCATTCTGCCTTCTTTCCCTATCTCAATCAGGCCGGCTACCAACAGCCACTGGTATTTTTAGAGTTTGCCGGCATGAGACGGAACATTTTGATTCGGGTCAAATGTTACCTCATTGCGAAAAACATTCCAGTTAATTTTGAACACGATGAAGGAAGTGTCAAGTTTGAGATTCTCGCGGACTAACATCATCTGCCTAATAACTGGGGTTGTGACATCGAAGATGGTCAGTCATCTAAAGTCATATGGCCAAGTTGTCTAAGGTGGCACACATTTTTTCTTTTACTGCTCGCATATGACCTACTAATTAAACGTCTTCGTAGAGGACGAATATGAAAGAACACCTCTTCAGTTCTGTATCTGGTTTGTCTTCTCGAATGGTGAGAAGATTCAGTTAACATGGTATTTTGATGGTTTTTTTGATAAAGCATCTGCTATTGTGTTCAAATAATTTTCCCTCCACTTTTGCAATTTAACGAAAATAAACAGTTCATCAGCAGCTACCCATTCCATTTGTTTAACACAATAAGAGGACTTGATATATTGGCGTTTGTTATGATCGTTATTTGGGATCCTAGTAGTCTGCTGTGGTGCTTCGACATTCGTGATAAGAAATTCTTTCCGGAGAGAGAAGCGAATGTTTCCTTGGAAATGACAGAATAGTCATGGATACAAGGACTCATGTCAAGCATAAACTGCGACTGATTCTCGCCGCTGGAGCAAGATGACTTGGAAACGCCCTACAATCAGAATGGAGATCTGTAAGTAATTTATACAAAATTGCAGCCTACGCCTTCACTCGTTCCATGAGCAGTGATCATTGAGTCATATAATCGATGAATCTAATGCTGGCCTCCGGAAAGCCTGGTTTGCTGTACAATCACAGTCACTCAATATTTCAAAATATAAGTCGATAAAGTCAATGCATTTTTCCTTAGAAACGCAGTTTTGGTGCCTAATTCCAATGTTATGAAAGATCATATATCCGAAGACGGCTGCTGACTACGTATTCTCATTAGAAATTTAAATACCCACTGGCCAAAAACTTTAGGCCCAAATTGTTAATAACAAATATCCCTATATCTATTCCGCATTTGTTTTTTAAAAGTCAAAAGCTGCATGAAAGTTGAAAAGACGCTCTGATAACAGGTAGATACGTTAACGCAATCGTATTGGTTGGAATAAGTGCGGTCTCTGTGTCTGCCTCATGTCACGGCAGATTTTATGTTCAGCCGCGTTGAGTAGACACTAATATTGTTGAGTAATTTTTAGTATTTATTTTAAACTCCATTTGCAGATGCCTGGCGGTCTGTTAACCAGACTGAACAGCATAAAGAAGACCCCTAGGGGTCTGGCGACTGGTTCTTGCTGTTAACTTTCCGCATATGGGTTTACTGTACGCATGGTTGGTGTTTATGCTTGAAAGATGGCAACGACCACCGGCTAATCGAACCACGCGGAGTCATCATATTTTAATTCAATTGAGCAGCTATTGTATGGCTTAAAAAACTAAGAATCATTAATCCACAAGAGTTGTCAATATTTAAGTTAAGAAAGAATAAAATGGGTTCGGCTTTGAAGGGAAAGGAGAACAGACGACATCTCATTGACGTTTGGAACGAACCGTAAATTTTTACCGATCTTGTCAGAAAAAAAGTTAAATGGGCATTAGCTGATGAAAAGGTCCGTTAGTGGTTATTTTGAAAACACTTCTCGAGAACACACCGACACAGTTTCCGTATAAATTGCAACGAAATAATATCCGCGCATATGTGTCATTCGTCTAAAGAGCCGCCATGTATGCCTTCTACCGCAAAATAATCTCATCAGACAATATTACATGTTATGGCATAAAGGTCAGCCACTCGTTTTTTAAGCTGTTTAGTCCCTCCCTCCTCGTGCCTGACGTTCCCATATCTTTGGCGATTTACTACAAATTTATCCATTTTGACCCAACTCTGGAAAACTCGGCGCCTCGGTGGGATTCGAACCCACGCAGTAAGAAGAAGGCTTTAGTACAGCCAACGCTCCAACCGCTTGAGCTACGAGGCCCCGCCGAACAACGCGAATTTAATCACATTAGGGTCAAGTTACCCACCCAACCTACTGCAACGTCTAGAATCCACCAAATTCTATACAGTTAGTTGACTGTCCACGCAGGATTTCCTAAGTAATTCACCTAAAATCCACCAGATTAATTACTTAAACCCTCGCAGGCAGTCGCACAGCGACTAGTGGTATATGTTGATAAGGTGATACCGACAAAAACAAGGGAGACCGGAATGGCCATTTCTGGCTTATTAGCCGTCATCAGCCAGTCATACCCAACCCCAACTGTGGATCCATTGAGATTCGAACCCGGGATCTTTGGTCATGGAAATCGACGCTCTAAAATTGAGCCACGGGCGCGTTGTCCTGTCAGTTGTGATCGGGAATATCAATTATGACAGATGGGCGCTCACCGATCAGGTTACAGAACATGCTCGTTCTGTTGTGTCTTGGGGCTCAATGGTAGAGCGTCAAACTCCATGACCAAAGATCCCGGGTTCGAATCTCAAGTGATCCACACTTGGGGTTGGGTATGACTGGCTGATGACGGCTAATAAGCCAGAAATGGCCATTCCGGTCTCCCTTGTTTTTGTCGGTATCACCTTATCAACATATACCACTAGTCGCTGTGCGACTGCCTGCGAGGGTTTAAGTATGAGCCCCAAGGCACAACAGAACGAGCATGTTCTGTAACCTGATGGGTGAGCGCCCATCTGTCATATATATATATGATAGAAGCGAAGATGCGCGTCTCCGGACGTAAATGAGAAGAGACGATCTGGGAACTATAATTTTTTTGCCCTGAAGTTTCAAAAGCAAACAGGCTTTCATCGTCGGAGGTGAGTGTTTTACCACGCCTCACAGTATTTATAGGTAATGATTGTATCCTTGCAACGAGTTTACCTCTCGTCGGGGTCGGCGTTCGAGCGTTGGCCGTCATCGCACGTGTTCGCATGGACCTTAGTTCTCGTCCTAGTCTGGCAACCTTCTTTCCGACCCCGCGACGGCCTGTGCTCTCACTTGCCGGATAAGTGGCAGTGACACTGGCACCCTCACCGGGTCCGTTTATGTTACTGCGACCGTCCGTTATCTCACCTGCCGGATAAGTGGGTGCCGCGGTTGTGGTGACGATCGCACTTTCGCCAGATCCAAGTTGAAATACAGCTGCGTTTGTGTCCCCCATGAACCCGGCCGTAATTGGGTTCCTGTTTCCTCGTAACCCGCGTTTGCTCCCCTGTTCTCTGAGCTGCGTCCGGAGGGCCTGGTAGGCTACGGGAAGCGTTACACAGTAGTTGATGGAGTTCGTGCCGGTGTGCCAGGCCTCGATTGTTTCCCTGGTCACGCGATAATTTTCTCCGCCCAGGATTTCGGCATTCTGGAAGGCGAGCGTGTGTCCAGAGTTTGCGTAGTGTTTTGCTACCAGGGACAACAGGTCCATCCTCCTTACGGCCCTTATGTGTTCTCCAACACGGGTCTGGAGTCGTTTATCGGTCTCTCCAATGTATTTAATTTCGCAGGAGCAGCATTGGATCCGATAACTCACGTTTGTTATTTCACCGGGTGGCAGGAGGGTCTTAGGTCTTACGGCCAGATGCCAAATTGTTGACTCTGGCCAATGGGCAATGTCAATCCTCAGTGGCCTTAGGAGGCTGGAGACCGCCTCAGAGACGCCGTCAATGTAAGGAAGCGCTCGCAGACTTTTGGCCGTTCTGTCACTGGGCTTCGGCTTGGCACAGGCTGCCTATTGTCCACAATATGTCCTCCAAACAGCTGGCTCCTGCACAATTGGAAGTGTAGAGTTATTAAGCTTGCCTCACTACCGCAGCCGCCGATTCGTTTAATCTCGTGACCACGCTCGAGTCGATCCTCAAACAAACCGGGAAACCGGACGAGACAAAGCATCTCATTTGGTAATAGGTTACCTCCTTGATGATGGCGCACAAACCACGTGCAATTATTACCAAAGCAGAGCAGAGCGCTCTCAAGGCACTCAGGACTGACACCAGCATTGCAATACTACCAGCAGAAAAAGGATGATCCACAGTAGTGCTGGATAAGACAGACTACGTTCAGAAGGCCTGGCAGAATGGCCTGTCTTTGCAATCGTATAATCTTCAAAGGACCGTTATGATCATCAACGAACAGTCAAGAACCCAATCACCAGATCCTCAGACGAAATATCAGTTAACCAATTAAACTGGAATATGGCAGTAGACTTCGGTTTTTTTATTGAGCATCTCAGCCGATAGTCCCTGAGTCCCCATTTTCAACAAACGAGCGGTTTATCGACCGGTGGTGAAATATGATTCGTTACAACTGAAAGAGGAACGACACTAATTTGTGAGCAAAATGGAACCTCAGAGCAATGAACGTTACATAGAATGTTTGCTCCGGGACGTCACAACATATCATTTTGCATTATGTTTGCACAGGTCGGACGACCATTTTTCACACACAATTTGCAGAGCTAAGCACACGAGCTCATAACTGCACACCGGACTACATCTGCTTGAAGTACTCAGTGATGCCCTGTTTCTGGGTCAACATTTTAATTTACGCTCGAAGGACTTTAAACCCGTCAGAGAATCTCTCAAGCACAGTGTGAAATGCGACCACGTATGTCAGTTCGTCGGTATAGTCTACTAAAATATTGGAAAAATAAAGGGAATTCAACGACCAGAAAGCATTTGTTGGGAGACATACAATAGGTGGGCTAACTCATGAAATGTCAACCGAAATTCCGAAATGCGCTTTAGTTTCGAAAATATTAATTAAGTAGGGTTGTAAAACTAGTTAGCCTGCAACATAATCCTATAATATTTCAGTTACCTCAGTATGCCGTCTTTCTAATGAACTTCCTTCCGACTGCATGCAAAAATCTCATAATTAGAAACTCTTGAAAACCAAATTATACCCTTCCTTCGAGTATAAAATTTGAAGAAGACGTAGTTTTCTACCGAATGAGCGAAAGAATAAATATTTTATGCATGTTTTTCATGAAATATAATTGAATTTTTAAGAGCATCGAAAATCAATGGGAAAAAGTCATCCTACGTAACTAGTCATTTTTTACAGTGTGGTTTTTGCATGCGGCCGGAAGGATTTTCTTTCGAAAACCAGTATCCCAAGGTAACTGA